AAAAAAAAAAAAAAAAAAAAAAAAAAAAAAAACGAACGGAAATTTGATATAACATCAATACCGTTTTATGTAGAGAGTGCTGTTGGTAGATCTACAGACAAACGTGTTTAAACAGATCGAACCAACTGCAAACTACACGCAAATATATAGGCATGTAAAAATAAGTTTGAAAGGAGAGGGAATTCCTCTACTACAGTATGTTAGCTAGTAGTTCAGTTTGTTCCTTTCACTGCATTATTTTTCAAAAAATTAAAGTGATACTGTATTGCGTGAAACAGAAACAAGGTTAGTTTTAAAAGTGATCAATTTGATGCCTCGAAGAAACGGGCTCTGTGGTGCCTCTAACCCTAAAACGTCATTTCTTAGGAATAGCATTACCAGTAATAATATGTGATACTCAAGTAAACAGATTAATTGACAGATAAAATTCACACTTTACTTCTGATCGATTTAAGTAAGTCATTATGCAGAAAATAAATGGAATGTTGCAAACAAAAGAATATTATCGATTATGTATACAGCAAGCAAAGTGAAGCCATGATGATATGATAGTAGTAATAATTGGACTAATAATAATGATTAGACTTTTAATAAAGTAAAAAATACAAAATAAATGGTTTAAAAATGAAAGGGGATGCGTAATATGTTAAAGAGTTTAGTTCAATGCTCATGAAGTGCCTGTAAGGGCCTACGTAGTGTTTAGTATAGGCCCCTATATATTGCACGTAACTGTACTGCAATAGTACATGGCCGTTCGTAGGACAGTGCGAAATGGCCACCCCACTTGTGGTTTCTATGTACCGAAATCGACATAGTCACGCGTATTAATGTGTGTACGACATGGTAGCTCATAATATTTAGGACAGGTACCGGTATACTATATGGTTGCACGCATTCTAGATACTGGTATACAATATGGTAGTACGCTTATATAAGCCCACGACATGGTCGTGGGTACTGTGGACGAGTATACCGGTACATGTTCACGATTGTAGACAACCGGTAACGGCGAACACTTCGATTCCATTTAGAATTAACACAATGCTTTACGAGGCGTGCGCGATGGATCGTTTCCAATGACGATCTATTCAGAATGTCAGCGACAATCAGCAGACGGGTTTGTGTCGTCAATCACTCTCACAGAACTGAGATGAATTTGTCGGCGCAGACGGATGGCCAATAGTTACCAACTAAGTATTGGCTGTGTTACGGAAACCTTCCTTGTATTTCAATGCTTGCCAAAAATGCGCGTACCGTAGGAGGTTCAAATAAGCTTTTACGCGTTTAGTTCATTGTGCAGAATATCGCTTTATAACCTAAATCACATTATGAAGATAATTATTGACAAAAACTCTAGTTTCCATTGGATTAGAATCCATGACTATTGGATTGACTGTTGGAAAGCGTGTATCTTAACCATTATTAAACATAATAAGCTCCAATTATCTAGTGACGCAAATTACATATCTATGATCCAAGAATTATAAAAACTATTTATTCAAGAAGAATGGAATCGCTTTGTATAATGGTTGAACGTACTATAAAGTTAAATCCAAGATATTTCTCACTAGCTAACTATATTATGTTTGCTTTGATGGAAACATTCTATGTAAAGGATCAGTGGTTCGAGGACACCGCGATATTTATTAATATTTGCATTGTGAATAATGCGTTTTAACTAATCAACAAAGCAATTGTAACTTGAGAGTTGGAAGCCTAAAAAATAGATCATATGAGCACCATGGTTGTCTAGAATAACGCAACAAATCAACAGCAAAAAAAAAATAAATAAATAAATATAATAAAAGTAAATAAGTAAAGTAAAGTAAAGAACGAATATAGCAAAACTGATAAGCGTAATCCAACGTATTTTCAGAACACATTTAACAACCGGAATTGTAAGTATTGTATCAGTATTGGTAAAAATACTCTTCTTAAGAGAAATAAATGTAACAAACAGAGAGTGATTGTAAGTACAATGGGCTATTGTCTAGTAACACAAGAAATCAAGAGCCAAAAAATAAATAAATATAAAATAAAATAAAATAAAATAATAATAATAATAATAATAATAATAATAATAATAATAATAATAATAAAAGAAATGAACAAATAGAAATAAACGAAACTCATAGAATTGTAAGTACAATAAGTTAATGTTAGTAACACAACTAAGGAAAAACAAACAAAACTAATAGGTTATATCGGTTGTATTTTCAGTACTTATTGAACAAACAGAATTATAAGTAAATGATCAGCATTGGAAATACTCTTCTGAACAGTGACTGTAAGTACGCCTACACTAATTTACTGTCTAGTAACACAAGAAATCAACAGAAAAAGAGAAAGAGAAAAAGGTAAACTAACAAAACTCATATTCTACATGTGTTCCAACGCATTGCACAACCAGAATTGTAAGTAAATGATCGGTATTGGAAACAGGGAAGCCGCCAAGATCAAAGATCTCCGACGGGGAAGGGGGCTGATGTCCCTCAAAATCCATTGAAAGTGGTCCAACCAAAAAATATATCAATTTTATATCCTCATTAAATTAAAAATTTTAAAAAGGGTGCCTACATCGCTCACTTAAATTTTAATCTGTGTCGATTAATATTCTCGAAAAAAAGGTGAATTTTTTAAACAGTTATAAATTTAGTAAAACTAAAATGTGAAACATTTATAGTCACTTTCACTATTTGTTTTTTCTTTTGCATTGAGAAAATACAATAGCTGAACGAAAGCTCCTATAATGCGATTGCCATAATTTCTAACATAAATCATATACAATATTATATACCGATTACATAGATTACAGGCATTTGATTAGTTAAAAACCGGGCAATAGTTCCAGCCATGCCCTCCTGGCCGGTCAACAAAATATGTAGTGGTATATGAAAGAAAATTTCATGGGATTTTAAACGGGTCATAGTTCTAATTATAGCCCTTGTTGATTTGAAGGCTGTACTATGTCCCTCGACTTTGTATCGGGACATACATCTCTAGCTATAATTTTGAACAAATTATTAGTCTTTCCTTACCGGTATTGATTTATAGTATATTGTGGAGAAGGGTTTTTTGAGCAAGCGTTTATTTTTTATTTTTTTTGTGTAAAAGGGATACGTATGTACTCAAATAAACGCGCCTTGATTTCACTGTAAAATTCGTAACCACAACACATACTAGACCTTTCCGGAGTGTCAATCAAACTTAACAACTGACTAATCAGAACAGCGCTAGGAATACGCGCGCGTCTCACAAACACACGTGTTGTCCCACAAACGCACGTGTTCGCCTGTTTTAACACTGTCGCCTTGTGGGACCTTAGCAACAACATCCAAGGGGCGGGGCTTAGCGGAAAGG